GATGGCTCAGAGTTAAGAACACTGGTTGCTTTTCCAGAGGACCCAGGTTCAGTTCCCAGCACCCACGTAGTGAATAACAACTGTCTTTAACTGCAGTTCCAGGGAATCTGACCATCTCTTCTGACCTCCATGAGCATTGTATGACATGGGTGCACTTATATCCACGCAGGCAAAACAGTCATATACATAAAGAAATAAAAAGAACTGCAGAAGTTAAGCACCCAAACAAGCAAACATGCATATCAGCCAATCATTAAATGGGCTGATGAATTGAATAGTTTTCAAAAGAAGAAATTTTACCCCAGTCAGAACATCTGTCATCAAGAAAACAAATGACAACAAATGCTGATCAGGATGTGGGGGAGAGATGAACCTTTCACTGTTGGCGAGAATATAAACTTGTGCAGTCACTATGAAAATCAGTGTGGTGGTTCCTCAAAAACAGAACATAGAACTACTATATCACCCCAGTATACCACTTGGATATATACTCAAAGAGCCCTAGAAACATTGGAGACACTTTCACACCCATGTTCTTTGCTGCTCTATTCACAATAGTTAGGAAAGGAAACCAGCCTAAATGTCCATCAACAGATGAGTGTATAAAGAAGATCCAACAAGATCCCACATGATAGAGGGGAGAACTGACATCCACATGCTCATCATGGTGCATACACACACACACACACACACACACATACACACAATGTAAAAAAAGGGTGGTGATACATAAACATAATGGAATTTTATTCAGCCATAAAAAATGAAATTATGATATTCTCAGGAAATCATTATTAGCTGAAGTATGACAAAATCAGAACAAATACCACATTTGTAAAAATTTCTCACATGTAGAATGTGTGTGTGCATGTGTGTGTGTGTGCACACGTGTGTGCGGAGATCATAAAACTAGAAAGGGAACCATGAGTGTGGAGGAAGATATCTTAAGGAAGTGGAGAGAAGGAGGAGCACTAGGGTGGTGATGAACAGGACCAGCAGAAGGGTGCAGAGAGGATGGGGGAGTCAGCGAGGACAAGCTAGAACAAATTATAATGGTGTGTATGTGCGACAGTGCTGTAATGAACCCATTGCTTTTTATACTAACTTACAATTTTAACTAAAAAGAAGAAGAAAATCTTTTTGGCAAAGCCTTTGCTATTTTGTATTTGCACTGTATCTTCTAATGTCTCCAGATAACAGTAATGTTTAGATATCCAAAAATAACATTTGAAATGTGAGAAATAGTATTCATGGCACTGTGGATAAGCAGATTTTTGCTGTTTTTACTAGAGATTGAACCCAGGGCCTTATGCATCATAGGCAAGTACTATACCACGGAACAGAATCCCATGTTCTTTTGATATTTTTATTTATTTTGGGAAAAGTACTCACTAAGTTGCCAAGGATGGCCTCAAGCTTTCTCTGTAAGCTGGAAAGGCTGTGCTCCTGCTTTTGCCTCCCAAGAGGATAAGTGAGTTATATTCAAACCTGGTAAACCTGTTTTCTTAAATTAATTTCAGCACTTCCTTTTTCTTGTTTTAGCAGAACTACTGGCAGTTTCCTGTGAATTTTCTGACAAAACGGCACTAAATGATATCACTTTATTCACCAACATTTATCAAACACATTAACTTTTAGAGACTAATCAAGAAATTTCTAAATCTCTGAGGTATATTGCAGAAAAAGTAGATCTTGGACTCTTAGAGCTTAGTCTCCGGTGAGGAATTAAATAATGAACAATTATTAGAGTTGGAGAGATGGCTCTTTGGTTAAAAGGGCTCGTTGCTCTTGCAAAGGACTTGGGTTCAATTCTCAACACACACGGCAGCTCATAACTATCTGTAAGTCCAGTTCCAGGGGATTGATTCTTTCTTCTGTCCTCCATGGGTACCAGGCATGCACATGGTGCACATACATGCATGCAGGCAAAACATTCACACACATAAAATAAATCTTTAAAAAATAATAAATTATTTAGATACTTAATTACATGTGGTAACAAAGCATATAAAAACTCAATCAGAGTAAGGGGTTGAAAAGAGAGAGTGTTCTGTTTTAAATAGATAAACTCCAATGAATAAGCCCAGTTTAAGGGATAAACTTGGGAAGAAACATTTTGCTAATAAAATTGTTGAAGTGATACAGAAAAAAAAATAGATAATCTAGAAAAAGTTAAAGGAGAAACATTAGAGTAGATTCCCGAAGTATGTGCTGAGAGGATAAGCCATATCACCATCTGCCTGATCATCCCAGGTAGGGGGAACAATAGGCACAAAGTCCTGATGTAGGGATGAACTTGAATATTCCCTTAAGAGATAGCATGGGGGGACTAAGGTGACTAAAGTGGGGCAAGTAGTGGGCATGATGGTTAGCGTTCAGATAAAGAGCAAATAGCAGGTCATACTATGTTCTTTGGGACATAAGAATGAGTTCAAATTCTGCTTTAATTTCTATGGAATGCATAGACTTGAGATCAGGGAGTTGGCTACCACGGAGTCCAGGTGGGTGATCTTGACGGCTTACAGAGGAGTGGTTAAAATGACTGGGTTTAGGATATATCTTAAAGACCAAGATAACTGGGGTGCTGGGTATGAGAGAAAGAAGTGGAGGGAGATGTAAGGAGCCCCTGATCTAAGCATGATGGAGCCATTTACTAGGGTGGGAGAAGTAGGGAAGGAAAAGGCTCAGGGTTGAGGAAAATCAAGAGTTGAGCAGTAACTACATCATGTTTCAAATGCCTTTTAGATGTCCTCATAGAGCACCTTAGGTAGTTTTTGACTAGGGTTGTGTTCGCACACATGACAGATTGTGATATGTTGAGAGAGCTGTGGGGGGATGGATCTAGAACTGCTCTTCAAATTGTTTCTTTCCTAAACTTTTTCAGTAGGATAATAAATAAAAAGTATGGTTATTGGTTGAAAATGAGAGATTACATGTATTGGAAATTCGAGAAGAAAGAAGGCATGGAACAGTCACCTTAGAGATGTAAAGTAAGTGTGTGGGAAATGCTGGAGACCTGCTTGAGGTTGGTGGTCATGACGTTAAAACGAGACTTGTTTTCTGACTGTGTTTATCCCCAGCCATGCTCAACTATTCAGGTGCAAGAACTGAGTAGACAGAGACCTGCAATTCATTAGGACTGAAGTTTTACCATTGTTCTTGATGGAGGCCAAGGAATAATTAATTTTATATATATA